AACAGTATTGTCCTGTATACTTCAAATTTTAACAGGCTGTACCTCATGCTGTATGTTGTTTTACCACAATTTAAAAAAAAATGTTGAGTAGAAAGCAAGTTTATACTTCAGCTTTTATTTATTTTTAATATTTATTTTAAAAAAGGAGTTAGGTTTTAAAAACTTTAGAATGAGTTTTAAAGTAAGTAATGTTCTCTGCCAATTCTTCCATTTAGTATTTTTGTTATATTGTATCTTTTTAAAAGTTGTTTCTTAAATAAGTCAGTATTTCAGTACTAAAAATCTGTGGCTGCTATTCAGAGGTCATTATTCACAAAGCCTTTAGATTTTTAAAAGTCGTTGTTCAAAAAATGAAAATACTATAGAGACTAAACAAAACATTCTCTCCTTGGATTTATGTTTGCAACTTCTTCCCTAGACGATAGGTTCTGTAACAACTGCTTTATGGGTTAATAAATTGATGTGGCTGCCTTAACAGAGGCTAAATAAATAATAGTGGCCTAACCAAGATATAGAAGCTTGTTCCTCTTTGCAGAGAAGTCGGCGTTGGCAGGCGGTTTGGGGACCTGGGGGTGCAGGACAGCTCAGCCCCGTGGGGTCGTCCGGGCGTCCAGGTGCACTCTTTCCAGTCGTTCTCCCGTCCCTTAGGATGTTTCCTTTTGCGCATGGGTGCAGACAGCATGGGGAAGTGGAGGGCGGACAGCTGCCTGTTAATGTGGGAGTCACACTTTTTCCGGAAAGGGTCAGATAGTGAGTCTTTTAGGCTTTGCAGGTCACATAAGGTATCTGTTGCATATTCCTTTTTTCCCTTTTTTTTTAACAACCCTTTAAAAACTGTTAAATTTGTAAGATAGATAACTATTCTTGTCTCACAAGCCTTATAAAAAGGCCTTGGGCGGGGGCTGGCCTGGTGGCACGTAGTGGTTAAGTGTGTGTGCTCCACTTTGGTGGCCCGGGATTTGCAGGTTCAGATCCCGGGTATGGACCTACACACTGCTCATCAAGCCATGGTGTGGCAGCATTCTACATACAAAATAGAGGAAGATTGCCACAGTGGTTAGCTCAGGGACAATCTTCTTCAAGCAAAAAGAGGAAAATTGGCAACGGATATTAGCTCAGGGCCAATCTTTCTCACCAAAAAAACAAAACAAAACAAAACAAAACAAAAAACCCCAAACCAAACAAAGGCCTTGGATAGGATTTGTTACACAGGTCATTAGTTTGTCAACCTCTGTTTTAATGACATGATGCAGAAATTGCACACTTCCTCATCTCTAAAATAAGGTTAATAATAGTATCTATTTCAAAAGGTTATGAGGATTAAAATGAGATGCTAGGTTCAGTAGTGCCTGGCACAAACTGATTGCTTAGAAAATGTTAACTGTTTTTATTGTTATAATAATTGATATCTAACTTCATCTGTGAAACAGAATTAGCACATTTTTCTTTTACCTCCTGATTTTTGACATGATTTATAGCATTTATATCTACAATTGCTACAGTAATTTAGTGTTAGTGCTGCATTTAAATCATTGTCTTGGTCCTTTTATCATGGTTTCTATTTCTCTGAATTCTTTATTTCGATTTTGATTTGTCTCTGTTGGCTAGATTTCATTATCTAGTGGTTTAAAAAACAGATATTGTATTCTAAGTTTCTGCATGCTTGAAAACGTCTGAACATTGCTTTTGTGTCTAAAGGATAACTTAGCAGGGTATAAGATTCTTGGGTCGTCTTTTTTCCCCACAGGATTTTTCAGAATTACGTGGCTGTGTTGAAGTCTGAAGTCAGTTCAGTTATCTCCCCTTATATGTGACTGATGTTTTCTGCCTGGAGATCTTTTTTTATTGTTAATGTCTGGGAGATTGATTGTGAGTTTTTTCCTATGTTATGTGCCCTTTTAAAACGCAGATTTCAATTTTTTTCATTTTAAATTTCAGGGATGTTTTCTTGTACTAGGTCTTGGAATATTTTTTCCGTTCTATTTGTTCCTGTCTTTAGGAATTCCACTATGTTTATCAAATCTCCTATTTGCTTTCTCCATTTATGTATTTTATTAATGGATTTTTGTAGTATGTTTTCCTCTAACCTGTCTGCAATGTCCCTTTCTGTGTTTTCACTTATTTTATTTTTGCTGTCTTTAATTGATTTGAATTTCTAATATTGCTCTTTCTTCTATTTCTTTCCCGGGCTTTGCCAGCTTGTTTTTCATCTTCTCTCTTGTCTCGTAATATCTTACTTGAGCTCTTTCTTGAGAAAACTCATGTCTAGGATATTCATGTGGACTATTTGTCCTTATCTCCTCCTCTTTCTTTGTTTAGTTTCTTTTGTGATGTGTGTTTTCCGTCTGCCTTTTGCTTGTTGCGCTCTCTCTCCTTTTGGTACCTTCCCGTGTCCCGCGTCTTCATAGAGGCCCTGTGCTGGCCCTTCCATTATTGAATGGGTCGATAGTGAGGGGAGGTGAGGTGGCTGAGGTGGTCCACAGCTTTGATTTGGGTTTGTCGTCTCAGATGCCTTATCACCTGTGCCCCAGGAGCACATTCCTGTTTTGGTGTTCAAGGGGTCCTTATGACTCCTGGCAGACCCTGTGTGGTCAGAGCGTTAATAATGCTCCCTGCTACTCCTGCCTCACCTCCAGTCTGCCACGGCTGAGAGGGGGCCAGTGGACGGCAGAAAGGGTCCTGCAGAAGGTGGGCCTCTCCGCTGGGCTGAACTGCCCTCTCCAGGCTTTCCCTCTTCTCCTGGGTCTGCTGTGGCTCACCCATGCTGCCAGGCCTTTCTCTTCTGTGACAGGGACGTTCAGGGGTTACTTTTTCCCACTGCAGTCTGAGTGGATATGTGTCAGTCTTAGCTTCCTTCTTATTTTGGTCCAGCTCTCACAGTAGATGGGAGTGGTAGCGTTCCCTTGTTTTATGTATAATAAGATTTTCCACTTTTTTTTTATTATGTTAAATAATAATGATCATTACAGTCATTTATTAGGAGCATGTATCATTTGTGTCCAGTTACCAGGCAGCCCATCAACATACACATATCACTGAGTATGTGTCAGGCTCATCTTGTTAGAAATTATATTGGATAAGACAGTAAATGTTCCACACGTAAGACGACTCATCTTGGTTGTGTACTGGCCAGTGCGTGGGCCTGGCCTGAGGAGCCCTGAGCCCAGCTCCTCTAGGGCTCCCCAAGGCGCATCAGGAGGGTGATGCTCAGAGACCAGAGACTGATGCTTGGGCTTGCAGGATTTTTCTAATTTGAATTTGAATCCTAAGCCATCTTAGTCTGAATAGTCTTGATCTCTCACATTTTTTTTTTAAATAAAAAAAGTTTAATTTTGGGTGTACATTATTGTTTATCAGTTCCTGAATACACTTCATCGTGCTCACCCCCAGTAGTCTAATTTTTATCCCTCACCATACATATGTGCCTCTTTGTCCCTTTTGTGTACCCCCCAAGCCCCAAGATTTTCCACTTTTTATTAGCTGTTGTTTTTGGTGCGCTTTGAATAAGGAAAGGAAAAAAAACCTTCATTGGTGGATTTAAATTTCTTTTATGCTTTACATTGTATTTTTTAAAAATTTAAAAGATACAGTACCACACCTGTAATTGACTGTTTCATTTTGTCACATTTCTTTCAAGTCTTTTTTCTCTTAGAAAAGTAATCAAATGTAACAGGTCCAGCTGTGGTTCCCTTTGATCCTCACCCCCAGGTGCCCCCCTCCTTCTCCACCCTTGGAACCCCAAGACAATCGCTAGCCTTGCAGTCTCTTTATAGTTTAAAATACAAATGCAGGTATCTATACACAATATATAACATTATGATATGTTTAGAATGTTAAGCCAGATGGTATCATACTATTTTATTGTTCTGCAGTTTGTGTTTTTCCACTTAACATTGTTTATGAAATCTGTTTTCACACACACACACACACACACTTTTTATCATTTCTCTTCTCTGTGGCATTATTTCATGATATGAATATGTCACATGCATGTGTTCTCTTGGTGGACACTATTAAGAAGAGCATGTCACTGGACATCCTTATATGGCTCTTTTAGGCTTATGTGCATGCATTTCTCAAGAAGTAAATGTTCAAGGTGGTAGGGTGTATGCTTTTTCATTATTACTAGATACTAAGTAGTTAGTTCTGCCAGTCCTGACTAATTGTGCACGAAAGTGATGGCACCGCTTTCTGAGCAGCAGTGAGAGAAATTTCCCCACGTCTGCATCAGTACTTGATATGGATACCCTTTCTAATATGTGCTGTTTCTTGAATAATCCTATAATGAAGCCAACATTGTATAATGTTGATAACCTGATGGATTAGATTTTCAGAATTAGTTGTGAATTTAGGAGTAAAAAGCGATGAATCATGTAACTAGGAGTCCTACCAAATGGAGTTCACTCTGCGTCTGAGATGTGATTGTATTCTACTGGTTTTCTTTACCACTTTTTTTTCAGAGTATCCTTAGAGCCAAACATAAAGTTTTAAAGGTGCTGGGGTCTTTTCTGGGGTGCGGGTGGCGGCAGGGAAGATATGATCAAGTGTGTTATTCTTTCTGAGAAGACTGCTGCCGTCTTTTGTACCCGTGTGCCGTTTTTACTTGGAGTGAGTTTATTTCTGGACCTCCTTTCCCAGCTGTTCACCTGAAAATCATTAAATGTGTTGCAAGTGAACCATGAGATGATTAGATGCTAATGTGACAAAGAAAGTGTGAATTCTCTCTTAGCTCAGAAGTGGGTTCGCTTGGTTTAATCCGGTGGTCTTGAAGGCATGCCTCTCTGTGCTGTCGAAGTGTGTGGTTCAGAAGCACCTTTCATCCGTGTGGGGTATTTACGTTGAGGAGCTGAATTCGCTAACATTTGGTCAACATGTCATTATTCAGGTCCAGTCCGTCTGTCTCTTTGTTTCTTTTTTTTTTTTCATGAAATGCTTTTTTTTTGCTGCTTTAGTCCTTTAAAAAGTCACAGTTCCTCATATATGCAATCTTCACCTTTCAGAAAAGCAAGCGGAAAGGGCATGAATATACAAATATTAAGTATTCCCTAACGGACCAGACAAGTGGAGATCAAAGTCCCCTCCCGCCTTGTACCCCAACACCGTCCTGTGCAGAGTAAGTAGTAATGAACGAAATTCCTTTTACCTGAATATAGTCCTATAGAAAAGCTTAAAAAACAACAAGTTTTTGCAGTGCACACCTTTCATTGATGTACATTATTGTTGCCCAACCGGTTAGTAAGTGTCTCAGTGGCTCTCTAAACTCAATTTTAATTTACCTAAACTGAAGGCTGAGTGCTCCACCAGCTGGGATTATGTGGGATTATAAGTATGTCAAGTGGTGGTTCTCTAAGAAGAATCGAATTGTTCTTTTGATGGGATGGGAGTTGTTGCAGAGGTAGGTAACACCCCTTTGATGTGTTAAGACTCTGTTGGGGCTGGCCCGGTGGCATAGTGGTTAAGTTTGTATGCTCGGCTTTGCTGGCCTGTGGTTCACAGGTTTGGATCCTGGGCACAGACCTACACACCACTCATCGAGCTGTGCTGTGGCGGCTTCCCACATACGAAATAGAGGAAGATTGGCAGGAATATTAGCCCAGTGGCAATCTTTCTCAAGCAAAAAGAGGAAGATGGGCAACAAGTGTTATTAGTTCAGGGCCAATCTTCCTCAGCAAAAAAAAAAGACTCTTGCTAAGTAAAAGTAAATACATTGACCGTTAGTGTGTCAACATAATCATGATGTGCTGATTTTCCACAGTCAACAAAAAGCTACTTTGGGTGTTTAAAGCAGGAGTCAGGAAACTATAACCCCCAGGCCACATCCTGGAATGGCCTGTTTTTATACAGCTCATAAATAGTTTTCAAAGGGTTATTAAAAAACCCACAAAGAATGATAGATACAACAGAAGCTGTGTATAGCCTGCAGAGACTAAATTATTTACCCTCTGGTCCTTTACAGGAAAACTTTGCCAACTTCTTGTTTAAACTAAAATGTGATAGGAAAACATTTGATAAATTGATCACGTGAATGGCAGTTCTATTTTCCTATATATTCTAAACTCAGTCTATAGTATAACATTTACTTTTTATTTTCCCCTAAGAGTCTTATCTTTGTTTGCTTCTGATGACTTTTAAACCCCTGCTCACCGTTGTCCTGCCTATAAACGTTTTAGGTGGTATATTTGTCTTCTGTTTTCATTTGCTTTCTATTGAACGTGGAAATGAAATTATGTAGTGAAGTGTTCCCCCACCAAGTTGCCTCTTCCTTCTGCCTGCTTTTTTCCTCTCCCAGCGAACTGATGGGGAAAGTTGCTATTTTAAATTGCTATCTGCAGTGATTTGCAGTGGAACCAGCACATCAGGGCTCTGAGTCCTTGCCAGAAAGCTTTCCCCACATGTTGGCACAGCAGGATCGGCTCTGACGACTCCCTTATTCCCAGTGGCCTGCCTGTGACTGACAGGTTCTCGGCCTCTCCGTTCCTGTTGTCCACTTTGTAGAGTGCAGACCCAGGACTCCCCGGATCCCGAGCTCCTTCTCTTTGCTTCAGCTGGCCCTCTCAGGCTGGCGCCCACAGCTGCTGGACTCCTTGTCCTCTTGGACTGCTCTCATCTCCACTCCCTGCTCAGTAGAACAGCGCCTGGGCTCCAACGCATGGGCCCTCCACCCTGGGGCCCAGAACTCCCTACATGTTCTCTGTTCCCCTTCATGTGGCCTCATCGGGCTAAATGCACCATCGTCCCTGCCTGGCTGCTCCTCCACTCACCCTTCTTGGAGCTCGTGCCCATTCGCATCTCTCTGCTTGAAATGGATACTGTTCCTTTCTACACGCACGTGTCCCACCTCCTTCCAGGTCTAACTCAAATGCCTCATCGTACAGGCCTCCCTTGCTCTGCCTGCCTGGAAAACAACCCTCTTCCCTTCAAACCCAGAGAGCACAGGGACTCGAGGCTCTCATTTCACTTTTTTTTTTTTTTTTTTAAAGATTGGCACCTGAGCTAACATCTGTTCCCAATCTTTTTCTTTTTCTTCTTCTCCCCAAAGCCCCCCAGTACACAGTTGTGTATTCTAGTTGTAGGTCCTTCTGGTTGTGCTATGTGGGACGCCGCCTCAGCATGGCCTGATGAGCGGTGCCATGTCCGCGCCCAAGATCTGAACTGGGGAAACCCTGGGCCACTGAAGTGGAGCGCGAACTTAATCACTTGGCCATGGGGCCAGCCCTCTCATTGCACTTTTAACTTCACAATTCTATTGCTGTACGTTTATGTCTTATATCCCTTTCTAGAATGCCAGCTCCTGGAGACAGGAACTGTGTCTGCACCATATCTGGTCCCCAAAGGATGTAGTATGTGCCTCGTAAATATCACAGAAGCTTAAACAGCAGGGTCTGCATTTTTGCTAATGCCTTCTTTTTTCTTTTCTTTTCAGAATGAGAGAAGATAGTGCTAGAGTCTATGAAAATGTGGGGCTGATGCAGCAGCAAAAAAGTTTCAGATGAGAAGAACCAGCAAGACTTGAGCACAGAAATAGGTATCTAAGGGGAAGCGCTGTAGCAGTTCACTGTCTGCATGTCTGTGTCACTTGTGGCATTTTTGAGCAAATAATTTGTGAGAGTTTTAGCGAAGTGTACCGTAATTGGGTTTTACAGACCAGCCTCCCTTTTGCTGTCTTTGTATTTCTTTTTCCAAGCTGGATTTATTGTGGAGTTCATTAAGCATTACAGCTACGTGCAGAATTAGTTCTGTGAGGGCCAAGGCTAGCACTCACTGTAGAGACATGGTTGGTGTTGGTGATGGAGAGCAGATTTCTCTGTTCTTGCAAGTTTTGTTGGAGTTGGTTAACCAGGCTGTGCGGGGAGAAGATCTCTAGGGGTCTTGGGAGCATGGGGACCCAGCACTGGATGGCTGGAGTCAGGATGCCCGAGTTCTCACCCCGGCTGGCCTCTGACTGGCTGTGGGTCAGGGCGCTGGCCCCCCCCAGCCTCCGCCTGGCTCAGCTCTACACCCCTCCAGCTCTCTTCTTGGCGGTTTATCTCCCTTGTGCGTCTCCTCCCCGTCACCCACCTTTTTAGAGGTGACCCAAGTGTGTGATGTGTGTTTAAAAGATGTCAGAAACTCACAGTTTCAACGTTTCATGTTGAAATTCCCATTTCAATGGGTAGTATATTTAAAAGCTCTAAATCTACTTTAAAATGGGTGAATGCCTTGCCAAACTTTTAGATGTATGCTTCTAAAGAATTCTAACTTATTTCTCCCCCAGATGTGGACTTTCACCCTCTCCCTAAAAAGATCAAGAACAGATGCAAGAAAGTTTATGTGAAGAATGAATCTGAACTTGGAAGGCTTGCGTTGTGGTCAGACTACCTTTTGATAAACAAAATTTGAAACCATTTAAAGACCACTGTGTTCTAACTCAGTGATACCTGATTGCCAGTTGTTCATTTCCTCAGATAAGAAGAAATCATCTCTACAATGTAGACAATGTTAGATTTTATAGAAGTTTATTTTAAAGTGAGGAAGCAGTTAAATTGTGCTCTATATTTTGCAGATGGTGGTGATACAAATTCCAGTTATTGGCATTTTTTTTTTCTTTCTATAACCTTAACAGATTTACTTTTTTTCCTCTTTGTGGAGGATGATAGGGCACTTGTAAGAAGAAAAATGATTGAGGGGAAATTCAGTGACAACATCCTGTAGAAGTGAGGACGGTTTCATTTATCATCGTCTATCCAGTAGTGGGTAATGCATTTTGATGGCCTCTTTTTTTGGCTAAATAATAATTAAGCCAGTGCCCCAGACCGTCAGAAGTTGACTGTCTACCTGTGCTTTGCGGTTGAAAAACCATGGGAAAAAAGTCATGGGAACTTAGGATAAAAGGTGTGTTTTCTTCTTAGCAGATGACCAATTCCTGTTCCGCCTGTTGACTGAGAAGGTTGTGGTGGGAAAACGTTTGCCATGTTTTCTTTTCATTTGAGTAATTGTCTTGTATTTAGGAAAAAAACGCATCCATGGATAACCAGTGTTTTGGTTATCAGTTGTTGTGGACAAACCACACCAAAACTTAGTGGCTTAGAACAACAACTTTTTCTCTCACTGTTCTTCAATCTGGCCTGGGCTCGGCTGAGCTGTTCCTCTGCTCATCCTGCTGGTGTCATTCATGTGGGCGGCAGGTTGGCTGAAGATGTGGGATAGCTGGGCCTGTCTGTCTGCATGCAGTCCCCAGGTGTCTCCTTCTCTGTGTTATCTTTCCACGTGGCCTCGCCAGCAGGGTAGCTGGACTGCTTACATGGCAGCTCAGAGCTCCCAAGGGTGTAAAGCAGTAGTGGCCAGGCCTTCTTAAGAGTTAAACCCAGAGCTCTCACAGCATTGCTCCTCCTGGCCTCTCTTGATTAAAGCGAGTCACAGACCCAGGCCCGATTCAGGAAGAGGGCACTACATGAGGGTGTGAGGTAGACATGTGGTTCATCGGGGCCCCCAGCATAACAGACTGTCAGAACCAGTGCCATGGAAAACAGCTGCAGTTAGCAAAAGTAGAAGCTGCTAGTGACCTTGGAAGCTGCTTGTGATAGCTCTGTAAGCTGAAAGTCAGACCGAGAAACAGGGCCTTCAGGAAGCTTCCTGCACCAGTTCTGCGTGCTCTGAGTGTATTTTCTGAACCATCACGTGGGACACCTGGTCTCATGAGGCCGGCTGTGTTTAGGGGGCAGAGCATCCGGAAGCAGGACCACCCCATCACCACAGCACCCGCAGAGGGAGGTGGGTGCGGTGCCTTCTTCGTGCCCCTGCTGTCAGTCTGGCCTCACCCACAGTCAGTCAGGCGGCAGGGGAAGGCGCAGTGCTCATGAGGCCGCTCGTCAGAGGGAGTTAACAGGAGCTCATTTCGGTTTTAACCAAGCAGTAAGATTTGCTAGCGTCATGCCTGAAGTGCCTTTTCCACAGACGTCCCTCTCTGGCCTGAGTGTGAGTCGTCGTTCAGCGAGAGCGTCTGACCTGAGGGATCATTGCCTGACTTCGTGAAGATGGGAGAACGCTGCGGCAGCTTTGCCCTTAAGTCCTGGTCTCCTGACTTGGATTCTTCTTGCTTCTGCTCCTGAACGGAAGGCCTGCGTCAGCCCTGGGGGAAGTTTCTCCCTGAGGTCCTTACCTCCCTTGAACCCCCGAGGTGACTTCACAGGCAACTGCAGCGATCCCCCGCCCCCGTGTCCATTGAACTTAGTTGCTTCAGAACACGGGAGCGGCCTGCAGGCAGTCGCCTCCCAAGAGGAATGTAAGTGACCACTGTCTTCTTGTCACGCCTGTAAAGAAGGAGGCCCCAGTTCAGTATTTGCGACAAGGACGTGGAATCCTGCTTTTTATTTTATCGCATCGTCACATTGAATGGTCCTCCGTTTTGCCTTGATTTCATGGTAATGTCTTGACCCTGGCCTTCGGGGGCGGGGTCTTTCACCAGCACACTCGGGTCTGATTGTGTAGAGGTGTCTGCTGCATTGGCGGCTCCGCCTGCAGCTTAGGAGCAGTGGTTTTGCCCTTGGAGTGGGAACACCTGCTCTTGGCCAGCTTTGTTCCAGGACAATGATTTCATTTAGGTTTCCCTCCACGAAGTCAGCAGTCAGGTTGGCTGATGCAAGACAGGATCGCAGTAGTCCCTAGGTTGCTGAGGTTTGTGGTGTGTTTGGTAAAAGGTGATCGCAGGTTCTCAGATGAGATGAGTCAACACGGGATGGAGTCAGGCAGTGGGGCTGTGAAGATGCGGGGAGCTCGAGGTGCGAGTTTAAGAAAGCAGTGGAAATGGAAGTTCCCAAGAGCTGGTTTCTGAGGAAGTCGGGGGCCCAGGGCCGGAGCAGTCGGTGATGGTTGGATCAGGTTACCTGGAAGATGGGATGTGTAGAGGCACGTCTGCAGTCTGCTTCTGGTTGCTGGTAGACATTAAATTTGCACAATATCCCATAGCTGGCTGAGTATTTTAAAATTATAGGCATAGGATTTTATATTTGGGATGAAGAAATTATCTGGCACATGGTATTGGGGTTTTTTAAAAAAGCCAAATTTCAGAGTCTTAATAGCTTTTTTAAAAAAAAAAACAAAAAGACACCTCCTCTCCAGTGTGTGGCCCTCCTGCAAGTCATGGTAATCTCCCCCACTGAAATCAGTGACTTTTCACACGTGGCTAAATGAGGGTGAGAAGATGTGTTTACGACTTTCTTGGTGTCTGTGCATTCTTCACGGAGCCCGGTTGCTTTGGAAGAGCCAAGAAGATCGTCAAGATTATCTTTAGGGGTTATCTTCCTGGGGTTTTTAAGAACTAATATAATGTCCTGGGTTATCTCTAGTTCGGGGGAATGTGGAAAGGTCTGCAGCTGTGAAGTGTTTGTAGCTCATTAATCCGTAAGGGAAACTTGGGCTGTAGACAGAAGTACGAGCCCAGCCCGCTTTTTGTTTTCTGTGTGTTGTCGGGGGAATAAAGTTTTATGTAACAAGCACATTGCCTCCCTGGTTTCAAGATGCCTTTATTAGGATCTGTACTAGCCCTGAATTTTGTTGAAATCTTTTTCCCTCTTCCTATTGAAAAATAAGTTCCAAAATATAGTTTATTGTATCTTCTTCCATCATTAAAAAGTTTGTTCTTTTTCACTATGGGCAGTTCACACAAGGCAAAAATAGTAAACAGTTGGTTTTCATGTGTTGTATAACTTTGCTGTATATCAAACTAATTTTTACAAGTTTTCATCCTAAACCTCAAATCATGTAATTAATAATTTGCCTGTTTATTTATGACCTAATTGTGATTCTTTTATTAATAAAAGCTAATGGAAAAGGATCCTTTATTAAGCTGACGACTAGACCTACATTTAATTTTCCTGCAGTATATGAAGTATTGTACCAGAGTATTAAAAGATATGTAATATTTTATTGATAAATCTATCCTTTAAAAGGAATACGTTTTAGGATGTCATCATTTTGATGTGAATCATGTAAATGTTGATAATATACACTGTTTATTATACATTTAGTGTTTCAAGAGATTCACTTAATTGCCTTTTTGCCCACGTATATTATGTAGTCTATTTGCAATTGTTTTAAAAAAATGACATTAAAAGGATAGTTTATGTAGAGAAACATTAGTGGATGTTAATTGTCTCCCCACCTGTATTTATGGGTGTTAGTTCAACTGCTTTGCTAGTTGCAAAGCCATATTATCAGAGTAAAAGTGTATTTGTAAACTGTATGGGAACTAAAAATTAGGAATAAAACCATTTTCTTATATTACGGTATTGGTCGTTTGCTTCATCAGAAATGTCCAGGAAACACTGGGAGCATATGTCACTCAACCTCTTAGACTGGAAAATACTGACATTTAGCAGCTCTCATCTAGAAGGTTACGTGGGATCCAGGAGAAATGAGTCAGTTCCTCAGGCATTTATTGAGTGCCTATTCTGAATTGCTTTGAAAGACAGAAAGGGAATCCTGTTTGGAAGAACTTAGGAGTACGTAACGAATAAAAAGTGTATCTTGTAAAATCTACAGGAAATGGTTAGGAAATGGAGAGCTGAATGTAAGTAGTATTGGGTGAGGGTATGAAGTAAAGATATGATAAAGAAGGCTTGTGGGAGAAGTAAATTATGTGCTGTGGGGCGTCAGCTCCTCCCTTTGGAGAGCTTTAGGCCACATACAGACAAGGCCATTTGCTTCTGACCACACTGCATTAACCTTGGCAGAAATAACCAAACAGGGAGTTATTCTCTGCTGTAAATGTAAGGAATGATTTGTATTACTTATTTACCCGGTAAAGTGCTGTTGTCCTCCTCTCAGGCTCAACCGAGTTACTTAATGCCTGTGATCAGATTCAGCTGGTCTAGTTGGTCATCCCACTCGTGCATCCATTCAGAAACAATCGCGCACCTCCGAAATGCCAGGCACAGCGCCTGTGCTGGACACTGGGGCTAAGCAGTGACTGAAACAGACATGGTGGCATCGTCACGGGAGTGACGTTCTAACGGGGGGCTAGGCCTTGTACAAGTCGGAAGGCAGTTAATTACGCTCGGGATGAGCACTACTGGAGAGGCAGCATGCCGAGAGGAGACTGCCACTTCCGAATGGGCTGGGAGCTGGGAAGAGGGGCTGAGGGTGTCTGCCGGAAGGAAGCAGAACCTCCTGCGGCTGGAGGACTCCACGGGGCCTTCATGTCACGGTGCGGTGGGGGGACCCTGTGGGGTTTTGGAAGGGGTGCTGTGTGCACAGTTGGCCTGAAGATGCCTCCTTCCCCGTAATCCTCCCGGAGACCCTGGGTTGTGTGTGTGAGGACAGTGGTGACATGCTGTCTTTGACATGCCATGAAAGAACCTCCTGGTTCTGTATTTCCCACTCATTAGAAAAACAGGAAAGCACATAGATTAAAGACAAAGAAAGAATCCCCATAACAAATTGATTGTGGACAGAGAGCTAAGGGTTTGTTCAGTTTGGTCATCTTGTAAATGAGAAGCCACGGAGGAAAGCGCCTACTCCTTACTGGATCACAGAGCACGTGTGCTGCGCATCCCCCGTCCGCTTGGGCTCTGAGGAGCAGTAGAAAAGGAACTGTGACCTCAAGTGAGTGGGTTTATTGCATGTGCTGTTTCTCCCCTCTGGGATCTAGCTAAGCTTCCAAACACTGAATTTGCAGAATGATAACGAGCCAGAAATAGAGATTGGCAATATCAATAGCAACTGATAAATATGCCCTTTGAGGTCAGACGATTTAAATCCCCAAAACCATCATGATATAAAATATAGCTACGAACATATGTGTTATAAGAAAGCAATACCATATGGCAAACCTGTGGGCAGTTTCTGGACAGAGGAATTGCGTCTGCTGCTTGGACTTGAAATCATGTCCACCTGGTGAGGCTGTCCTTATCCTGGACTGGAAAGCACTGGTTGGGGTTCGAATTCTCTTCCCTTCAGCAAAGACTAAATCCCCCCTAGGGTCCAGGCCCTGGGGAATGGATGAATAAGACAGGTCCTGCCATCAAGGAGCCCAGTGGAGGCGGGGAGGCAGCTGTGCATAGAGAAAGTTAGAATTTGATTGGAGCAGACAGTAATAAGCATGTCAACTGAAATTGATGGTTACATAGAAGAGTGAATTATAGCGGGGTTAGAATTCAGCAGTGGGGGTCACTTGAGCTTTTTCTTGACCAGTCAGGAACTTGTGTCTGTGTGCGTGTGTGTCTAGAGAGACAGAAAGGAACTTTCCTTTCATTTTCTTGTGGGTTCAGTCAAGGCTAGAGTTTCTTTTTGATGAAATACGTTGACTAAATTCACTGTTTTGGATAATGTAGGCCAGTGTTGCTAGGACTTCCTAGTATAATTTAAGTGTACATTATGGTTTGGAATGAGCCATTTCATTCTGAATGTAATCATTGCCAACCCCACATTTTTCAAGGGAAAAATCCAGTTCATGTAGTAGGGCAAAGGATTTTTTTCCCTCCGTTGTAAGTGTTTTCATATAAACTTGTAAAGTTAAATTGCAATTTAGTTTTACAATTAATAGATTTCCTTTATTAAGAAAGATAAATGATCCTCATTCAGGATGAATGAATACCCTAGAGAGTTCAGGCTGGGTGGGCTCCTGAGTTAGAGCAGCTCAGCTGAGTGTAGCTACCGAGAGATAGTATTTGAATGTGGCCTCATGAGTCAGTCTTGCGTGCTTGTCTTTGTTTTGTTTTTAATTTTTTTTATTGTGGTGAAATACACACAACACAAAAGTGACCATTTTAACCACTTGTAAGTGTACAGTGAGTGGCCTGAGCACATGCATGTTATGGTGCAACCTCCCCACCCTCCCTCTCCAGAACTGTTTCATCGCCGCAGCTGGGACTCTGTACTCATTAACCCATTTGTCTTTTTCTCACAGTTTTTCCCCGTTAGGCTTAAAGCTCTAATGAATTTTAAAATTTTGTGTATTTTTTGAATAGGTGACACATTCACCTAGAAGAAAATGTAAAAGATTCTAGGCAGCATGCAGTGGAAAGTGTCTCTCCCGTGAGCAGTGTTTCCCATTCCACCTCAAGGACGACAGGCATCTGTGAACACATGTCCCATGGGAAAAGTGCTGCTTCCAAGTGGTTGCTTTGGTGACTTGGATAGGTGATGCCGAATTGTCCCCCAGTGAGACTGACTCTGGTTATATCCCTACCAGCCCGTGTCCCCATACCTTTATCAGATTATGTTGTCCAACCTGCACCCCTGTCAGCCTGATAGGTGAAAAATGATAGCTCAAGGTAACTACATTGCATTTCTCTTAAAAGTGAGGCCAGGCATCTTTTCGAATGCTTTGTATGTGCCTTTCTGTGAACTCTTTTTTTTTTTTTTTGGTCAGATTGACACGTGAGCTAACAACTGTTGCCAATCTTTTATTTTTTCTGCTTTTTCTCCCCAAATCCCCCCAGTACATAGTTGTATATCTTAGCTGTGGGTCCCTCTAGTTGTGGCATGTGGGATTCCGCCTCAGCATGGCCTGACGAGTGGTGACATGTCCACGCCCAGGATCTGAACCGGCAAAACCCTGGGCTGCCGAAGCGGAGCGTGCGAACTTAACCACTCGGCCACGGGGCTGGCTCCTCTGTGAACTCTTTATGTCGCTTGAGATTTTTTTCTATTGAGTTTTGGAACCGTCTTCTTTTGAGTTTAGGAATAAAGATATTTAATTCTCTATGACTGACTGACCTGACTGGAATTATTGTCCCCGGGATCGAGTGCTATAAAATGTTTCTCTTTAGGTGCCTGTAGATACGCCTGTCCGTGAGTGGTGGCTTTGGTCTTGCTGTGATTGTAATTCTCAGTGGGGACGAGGAGAATGGCCTGGGAACCATATTCTCAGCACTCCCAGGATGCTGAAGCCCTGTTCCAGCCACCACGTGATACCAGTCTAATTATCCTGGCTAGTGAGCTGAGAATTACTGCATGTTTTCTTTCAGATTCACAAGTGCCAAACTGTGCATGTGTGCGTGCATCCATTCAACCACTCTTTAATGAGTACGATAAACCGGCATTGGGCTAGGTGCTGTGGGGAGTACGAAGCAGATATCTGTCTTAATCTCTTCCTAAAGGACTTGATGGCCCATTTAGGAAAAGGAGACACACACAGGCTGAATATAAGAGGGAAGATGAAACAGCTATGGATGAGGCCTGGACAACACTAAGAGTAGAAGGAAATGATGACAATGCCCCTCCTTTACTAAATGACAGTTCACGTGTCAAACGCTGTCTGAGGGTTTATACAGATTATTTCTCAACCTGCAAGGCAGGGACTCTCCCTGTCTGTTTTGCTCCCCGCCGTGTGCCCAGTGCCTAGCGTGGTGCCTGGGCAGCTGTTGATCTGTCATCGAGTGAACAGCTGATCTCCATTTTACACATGAGTAAACTGAGGCTCCAGGACATTAACTGACTTATCTGAGGTCCCACTCACCTAGGAAGTCAGGGAGCTAGGATTTGAGCCCAGCTGGGTCTGTCTGACTCCAAAGTCCACGCCTGCTCCTTTTCACCACACTGACCCCTGAGGAATCCTGGGAGACGGACCCCTGAGGGGGAACTTCACACTGGCTGGGAGTGGGGAGCGGGGAGCAGGGGGGTGCAGGGGAGCGTTCCTGGAGACGTGGGCAGGCAGGCAAAACCACAGGCAGAAAAGCACATGGCTTGGGGGATTGAGAGGGTGGGGAGTTCAACTTGGCTGGAGCAGAGGGTGCCTGAAGCCAGGAATGGGGGATGAGACTAGAAAGGCAAACTGGGGCCATGACCAAAGAGGTTGGCCTTTTGTGTGTTTTGTTTTGGAAGAAAGATGGATAGCTATTTTTTAAAAACAGCTTTATTGAGCTATAACTCACACTGTATTCTATTCATTAAGTTAAAGTATGCCGTTCAGTGGCTTCTAGCATATTCACAGGTGTGTACAGCCATGCCCACAGTCAATTTTAGAACATTTTCATCATCTCCAAAAGAAACTTTGTTTCTTTAAACCCTTTAGCTATCACTCCTCAGCCCCCTAGCCCTCCTGTTCCTGAGCCAAAAAAAAGAAAATCTTTTCAATAAAAATGTTTTGTTTAAATGATAAGATTACAGGGAGACCTTCCCCGTCTATCTTAGGTCAGGTTCTCCAGAAGTGGAGCCGGCCACAGGGACTGCTGTGCAAGGGATTTGCAGAAGGAAAGCCCTGGGGAGAAGGGGAGTGAGGGAAGCAGGAGAGGGCAGGGGGGAAGCTAAGCATGGATGGACGGACAAACGGATGGGTAGAC